CATTTCCTCTCTGACCTCATTTCCTGCCGCTCCCTCCCTCCCTCAGTTCCACTCCAAACAACTCCTGGAACATTCCAGGCATAAAGCAGTTTCAGTTCCTCATCTGATTGTTCCATCTGCCAGAAATGTTCTTTCAGTAGATAGCTGTGAGCTCAGTTCCCTTCATCTTTCAAATCTTTGCTCAACTGTCACCTTCTTACCCTACTTAAAATTGCAATCCACTTCCACTTCTAATTCCCTTTCCCTGCTCTTTTTTCTCCCATACTTTGTATCATTTCATATAATATTATATTATATAGTTATTTAATATGTTTATTATTTACTTTATGTCTCTCTCCAATAGAATGGAAGCTCTCTGAAAGCAGGGAATTTTGTCTGTTTTATTTACGAATGTATCTGAGGCATCCAGAACAGTTTACTACCTGGTAAGTACCCAATAGATACTAGCTGAATGAGTGAAAATCTGTTGTCTGGGTGCTCTGAGGCTGTTTCCTAGGCAATTCTCACAGTTATACCTGAGGACACCCCTCTGAAGCTCTGTTTGCACTTCGTCATTCTAATGGGTCAGAGGCATTTCTAATCACAGGAAAAATAACAATGTCCAATATAATAATGAAAGAAGATATTCTTTTCCAATGGCAGTTGTGCTCAGACACATTTCAACTCTCCTTCCTCAGGGAGAGTTTCTATATATGAACTTCTTCCAGAGATAGGGGAAGACTTTGTATCTTTGTTTTTGTGGGCCATACTGTTTCTATTCCTGATCTTGTTCACAGGTTATCATAATCCTTAAATTCTTGTAGATCTTTTGCACTAACTTTGAAATCCTCTTCAACACCACAGGAATGCTGCTCCTGAGATATGGATGCTGAATAGAATTTCTATAAGTTCTGGAAAATGTGTTGGGGTAGGTGGTTAGGAAATCTTACAGCAGGATCGCTAAAAATCCAAGCCTGGTAGAATTTCCTCCTACAAAGGAACTGCTACAGTTCTGTCCACCAACCTGAAATAACAGGACAAGTCACCAGGAGATGTGTGTACACAAGGGCCCTGAATCTTCTTGGAGTGCCTATCATACATTTAAATATTAAATCCAAGTACATATTTCTTCTCTCAAGAACTATTCCTTTACAAAGTCTGTCTATAAAACCTACAAAAACAACTAATCTCCTTAGGTTCTTTATAAATTCTATTGCCTGCCCTTCTCAATATCAAAAACAGACAAACAAAAAAACAAAAATAAAACCTTGGGCCCTCTTACTATATGATACGAGTCATGGTACTCTGGTAGGTCACATTTACACACACACATATGCACAGAGATACATATACAAACATACAGGTACATACACATACGTACACATACACACACATGCACACATACACACACACATACATTTTCTCTAGAAAAATATACCCTTTCCTAATTTTCCCTAGAAGGGGAAAATTATCCATCTTTTGGCTTTTGATATGTCATTTAAATTTTTGGTAGGTTCCCTTTTATATTTCTTCCTCAAAAATGCCTTTTTCTTCTATTCTTGTAGTCTGAATTCCAATTTCGGTTCGGTCTCTGCTTGCAGTGTGGTAAGACTATGATGCACTCTCAGCACATTTTGAGTAGTAACAAGCCAAAAACCAGGGGTCATGTCCAGGTTCAGATCCTCATGTGGGAGAGGTAAAATGTTAATATAGAGAGGCAAAAGTGGAGTAAAGGGGAAGGCAAAGGCTGGAGCTAAAATTCTGGAAGAAGCATACCTCACTTAATGCTGCTGACTGCTCAGAAGTCCTAGCACGTTTAATTTGCCAGAACTTCTTAATATCAAATTTCTCTTGTGTCTTAAATCCTGGTTCTCTTGAATTCTTTGTTGTGTAGTAATGAATAGTTTTCTATCTTCTTTAGTATTAAAAAATTGCTTTTCTGATCTTCTGAGAAACTAAAACAGTATTATTTCTAATTTTAGATTTTCCCTCACTTCTCAAGGCCTCAAACACAATATCCTCTAATGACATTGTCTTTGGGGTGACCCAAAATTATCATTTATTTCTTACTTATGAGCAGAGAGTTTGCAGCTTTTACTTGCCTTGTCTCTTTTCATGCCTACAGCCACCCGCTAGGAGCAGAGGAGGAAGTGTGTATCAAGTACCATGTTTCCACAGTTTGCCATTTATTTCCACTTACGCTGATTACACGTTGTGTTTACTTTTCCTTATTCCACAGCATCTCTTTAGCTCTACTTCAATGGTAAATCTCTCTAACGTGCCTGTCTTTCTCCCTCAATGGGATTCAATCTGAAAAGTAACTTAACAAAAGCCTAACTGTAGACTCCCTCCCCCTTGAGGGCAACCTAGAACCCCACTGAGGAAGGAACTCCTACAAACAAAAAAGCAGGAGTAGCGCTTCTTGAGCTGGCTTGACATTATTGATTCTGTGTGGGTGCCAACATCCCTATCATCTCAAAGAGGAGATTTTGTTAATGAAACAACATGAAGAAGTGAACTGTCTTTTGAGAACATAAGCCAGAGATAGATGCCCTGAGAATGTGAGTGCTATGGCATTGGGTAGGTGAAAGGAGATGCCTACTTCCACACTGAAACAGAACACTGCACCTCATGCTTTGCTGTGCCGTGGGAGTGGGTGGTTGCCCTAGAGGCTTTGCTTCAGACCCACATCACAATTTCTCTCTAGAATCTTCTTCTTTAATAACTGCTGACCCTGCCATAACAGGTCTCTGGGGGATATGCCAATTCTCTTTCAATGTTCTGGCCAAAGAGTGGACAAAAATCCCTTCCCTTGATTTCCCAAGACTTGGGACTCTCAGGAGATTTTACCAAAGGACAATGAAAAACAAATACATTTTAAAAATTATAAAAAAATATAAAATCCATTGCAGAGGGTACAATAGTTACTTAGGAATGAAGAATGCAAAGTGTTATGAAAAGTCTGGAGAACTGACAAATATTTGTGGTTGGTTTCTAGGAAATTTCTCCTTGCTGAGAATAGCTTTATGTGGCTACCCCAAAGGTTTAAGTCCCTTGCACAGAGTTAGTTCCCAGGAGTCACTCAGGATGTGGTCTTGGGGATTGGGCAGAATATATTGCTATAAAGTCTGAGAAAAGTTTTAGGAAAAGTGCTGGGCTCAGTGGCTCATGCCTGTAATCCCAGCTCTTAAGGAGTCAGAGGTGGGAGGATAGTTTAAGTCCAGGAGTTCAAGATCTGCCTGGGCAATATAGTGAGACTTCATTCTAAGAAAAAAAAAAAAAAAAAAAAAAAAAAATTTTTAGGAAAAGTTTAAACATATTTGTATTTTTTAAAGACTACCTTAGATACAAAATCATTGTCCTGAAATTTTACAGTTGGACTGTGGTGGGGTATACTGTATCTCATGGGTAAGCAGAGTATAGAACAGTTTGTTTCTCCTTCCTTTGCCACCTGCATATGTGAGGATAATATTCTTTTGCCTATGTAGTAATCAAGTGTGCATTTAATTTTCAGCATGTGGGTATTCCCCTAGGAATCTCTCCAGTCCTAGCCATGATCACAAGGTCTGAATCTACCATAACCAGCACCCTCTCAGACCCATGTACCCTGTCACATTCTTCGTAAGATACTCTCCACAGAATATGTCTCTGGCTCTGCTGGCACCTCCCTGGGGGGTCTTTACTAGCTTACTCCCAACTTGCCACTCCATGGAGCATATGTTGCTATACTTCCCACCCTGGACTGCATCCTGTATGCCTTGACTCTCAGGAGGTTCAGACTAGGGGCATGATGACTAGCAGCCACTATGGCGAGCAAGATTCCCACTGCACCAACAGTGGCTCTCCATCTGCTCTGGGAAACATGCTTCCTTAGGGACTGGGAATGACCACCCTTTTCAGGTAAAATACCACCCACTAAATACAGGGGTATCACTGTCTTCTCACAGGCCCATCCATAAAAGAGTAGCATAAAGATAGTAATTAAATTATTTAACATTTTCTGATATTTTTGTTAGTTATTATTCTAAGTACTTTATTCCATTAATTTACCTGACATTATTTAACCTTCAAAACAACTCTATAAGGCTGTTACTATTTGATTTTATTAAATTTATAAAAATAATAAATTTTATTTATTTAATAAAATCCCCCATTTTATTTACTTTTTAATTAATTTTATAGAGACGACATTTCACTCTGTTGTCCAGGATGGTCTTGAACTGTCTCCATTATCTTCTAATCTTGACTTTTTTCCTTATATGCTACAATACTGCAATGAATATTCTTGTTGATATTTTTTTCACACCTAAGTGTTTCCATTGGATGTATTTTTTGAAGTGGAATTTTCAGGTGATAAGGCTTACAAATTTCAAATGTTTAATAGATAGTGCCTAAATCCCCTTCAAAAATGTTTGCCAATTTATAACCCTATTATTTGTGTTCCATTTTTGAAATATATAAATATGTGTGCAAATCAACTGCTCTGCGTGGGCAGTTCCTTACACTTTCTGTAATGGAAAACATAGAGGAAAAACCACTTACAGTTTCAGGGGGAGAAAAGGTTCCCGTTTCAAGAAAAGGAAATTTCAGTGGGAGAAAATATTGTGAAAAACAAGGTAATTTTCTACTTTAAGTTTCTGTCCTATGGGTATAAAAAATAGCTGGACATTATCTTCTTCCCAGGCTCTGGTCTCCTCTTCTCCAGCAGGCTGTATTGCTGGTCATTTTTGGCTCCTGTTGGAAGCAAACTGCTCTTATGCCTTTGGATAAGATTTTGACCAGGAGTTATCTTAAAGAGTACTCTAAGGAGGGGTATACCAGCCAGCACAATGGTAACCCCTCCCTGGGGTTTTCACAAGGACAGAAGGTGGTGTGTAATAGACTTATCCGTAAAGCAGACGCAACTCCTAACTGGAGTTGTTCCTTATTGGTTAGCAGAAACAGAATTGAGGACTGATGACAGCTGCACAAGAAGATGAAACCATTTCCTTCCTCTTTTCTAAGCTTATCTCTTAAACCCGACTGGACGTTGGCACAGTGCTGGGATGACTATGGAGACCCAAATGTCTCAGAATGTATGTCCCAGCAACCTGTGGCTGCTTCAACCATTGACAGTTTTGCTGCTGCTGGGTGAGTGAGGGTCATTCTGAAAGAGTGCAATTTCAGACACTCCTACTGCCTGGACTCTAGGCACCAGTGTGGTAAAGAGCAGGCCTGGGCCCTGGAAGCAGGGGACAGACTGAAAGAGGAGACAGGACCCTGATTTCTTAAGTGTTCCAGTGGTTTTTAAGGTCAGAACTTAGAGGTAGTTACGTAGTCCCTGGAAAATCCATTCTGCACCAAACATTCATGTGTACTTTGTAGTCATGAGGAGGAACAGGGAATGAGATAAGGGGGACATATGAAGTGAATACTCTTATAAAAGATAAACTGGAAAAAAGATCTTGAGATAGGTGCTGGAGAAGGAAGAGCCCAAGCTCACCTCCCCTGCCCCTTTCACATACGCAGCTAAATTTGAAGCCATCTTCTCCTGCTAGACGTTGATCCACTCTCTTCTCTTTTACAGCTTCTGCAGACAGTCAAACTGGTGAGTATGCCCTTTGCTTCTTTGTATTGACAGTATTATATCCTCATAATATGATGCTGTGTTTGCTATGGGGGATATGTCTGTTCCACTGAAAATCAAGCTTGGGTTCAGCATGGGCAGTTCCCCCATTTTAGTGGGGTCTGGGATTTGCTTCTTAGATCCACTGAAGACCCAAGGGAATGAGGCTGCTGCAAGTACAGATCTTGAACTGTATCTACAATAGGACTCTTTGGTACCTGACCTCCCTTGGGAGCTCCTTTGGCATCCACAGTCCCTTCAGGATTATTTATTCACACTCCTTTCCACTCTCTGCCTCTCAGCATCTCCCCCGAAGGCTGTGCTGAAACTCGAGCCCCCGTGGATCAACGTGCTCCGGGAGGACTCTGTGACTCTGACGTGCCGGGGGGCTCACAGCCCTGACAGCGACTCCACTCAGTGGTTCCACAATGGGACTCTCATCCCCGCCCACACGCAGCCCAGCTACAGGTTCAAGGCCAACAACAATGATAGCGGGGAGTACAGGTGCCAGACTGGCCGGACCAGCCTCAGCGACCCTGTTCATCTGACTGTGCTTTCTGGTCAGTGGAGGAAGGCCCTGGGGTGGACCTGGGAGGGCCAGGATGGATTAAATCTGTTTACACGCAGAGGTTTGCAGGAAAGAGTAGGGGTGGCCTGCTTACTGGGAAGCACGATTGTGAGTTGCTCATTCATTCCCCATTTCACCCACCCCCTTTGCTTAGCATGTGTGGTGGGGGAAGGGGGAATTTCTAATAATTTTCTCAGCATGTG